CTCACATACCAGGGGGGAAATGGAATAAATTCTCCCCCAGAGAAACTCATCTTTTCAGATGAAGAAGTGCCTTGTTAGACTACCTCTCAAAAAGCTTCTTGCCTCCACAGTTGGGTTACTGCAGATACCATGTCAGTCTTCTTAGCTGCCATGTTTCAAGCTCTGCCCTGCTTCTTCTTACTGCTGCTCCTTTAGCTGAGTTTTATCACTCCCTTAAAGCCAGACCACCTAGATTGACTATGGGAAAAGGCGTCACTATTTATTATCTTCTTGGGTCTGTTTTTTATCCACTAAACTGTTGCCACTAAAGCTATTTGTAGGATAGCTCTTCCTCATTCTTCTCAATGTAGAGTCTCCATCCCATTCCTAGTTGAATTAGTATAAATGACTGTTTTTTAATCTCTTCTCAGTTGAAAAGAACAAGAGACAGACACACCCTCCACACCTCTCTCTGTGTCTTTCTTTTTTCTAAATTTTTGTTTTGTTTTTAGGCAATTGGGGTTAAGTGACTTGCCCAGGGTCACACAGCTAGTGAGTGTCAAGTGTTTGGTCTGAGGCCGGATTTGAACTCAGGTCCTCCTGATATCAAGGCCGGTGCTCTATCCACTGAGCCACCTAGATGCTCCTCGCTGTGTCTTTCTGAGGTTCAGGATAAATGCACATCTACTTTTTCTTGGTCTTTTAATTCTCATCGTGCCCTTTACCATTTTTCTTACTATGCTTTGATAATCCTCAAGGAGGTACCAAAAGTTTAGAGAAAGTGTGAATGTGTAGGAGACCGCAGGCTAGTAGTTTCTGATTGCATTCCTGTCCCCACCACAAAGCCCTTACTTATCTCTTTACTCACACACATACACAAAACAGAAATTGATTTATTTTTCAAATGATTGAACACTGCTGAAGTAGAACATGATTTCAAAACGTTGGGAAAATACTTCTGCCATAGAAATTTAAAGTACTTCCTAACCCCACTCCAGGGGGTAAGACCAGTGCCATGAGTCAGGTAGGGGTGGGATTCTCTCTAGGTACTGAAGGTTCATGAGACAGGAAGCTGATAGATTGTGGAGAGAAGGTTCTAGGCCACCAGTGACACATTTGAGTTTGCTTATGGAGGAAGGAAAGTGTTGGGTCAGTACTACAGAGCCAGTAGATCACTTATGAGCAATAGAAAGAGCTAAGCAGAGTGGATGGAGGAAGGAGGCAAGGTCCAGATCTGAAGTATGAGTCAATACCAGAAGATCCACAGAGTTGAAGATGTGACTTTGGATCAGATAGAAGTTTCAGATAATAGAAAAATAAAGAAGGTATGAATTTTAACAAACAATTTAAGAGCACTTGTTATATTTAACTTATAACAGCATCATTCATATTTTAATATCTGGGCACCCAAAGCCTCTAGCTTTCCCTTAATGAGTTTCAACTGATCTCATCCTCTTTTCCCCTAGCATTCCCCTTGGAGGAACAGCTATTTGTAAACCTCATTGAACAAGAAACTTTTTTGCTCCTTTTGCTCCTGCCCCCACGAACATTACATGACTCTTTTTGGAAGTTATCACTCCAAGTCAGGCTATTTCCTAATTGATCTTGTTTACACTGAGAGGGAAATACATATTTCACTGCATAATCACCGCACCCTAATTGTTTTTCAGTCAAAAAATTGGTTTATAATCTTTTATTGTGTAACTGTCACATGGCATAATTCTGTTCATCATGCCACTTAAAAGATAAACAGAATAGCAATGTATTCACCAGTGGCATATGGATATGCTTTTATCTCTTGTGCATTGTGAGCTGCAAGCCTAGAATTCTCAGAGCACACACATTGTCAGTATTCAATTTTTACATATATTCACAAGTATTCCATGCATTCTAATCTTGCGTCAAAGACAGTTTAGTAATAAATGGTTTTTAAGTAATACTGGTACAATTTTTTAAGCTTAATAATGGTCACACCCCACTTTTTTGTAAAAAAAAAAATTTGGCACAAAATCTGTGACAATGATGTGGTGAAATACAGTAAAAGCAGTAAAACTAGTACAAGTCACTGCATTATCAGGGTTCTGTCCTTACTGTTGGTACCATGTATTTATTCTTGTCCCTATTTCCTTATTTCTTGTGTACCTCCTGGGTCCTCACTGATTGGTTGATCATCTGACTGTTCCTTCAAGCTTTGCAAAGCCCAGAGAAGCTGTTGGTTAGATTTGGGTTCCCCTGTACTGCTCTGCCCTCTGCTATATGTGTCCTGTTGATATGTGCTTACTTATCTATCTATTGACACTACCATTGCTCTCACTGACCCCTCTCTCAGTTCAGGTATGCTCTACTTTTCCAGTTCTGGCTCCTTGCTCAGGCCCCTTGACCTGCTTCTACTTATGACCCAGCATAAAACCAATTAACAGAAAACTTTGTAAATACCACATGGTATATACTTAGCTACCTCTGCTCTGTTAATTTTAGCATTCTTGTGGGCTACCTCAGGGCTTTTTCACATATCATCATTATCTGCCTCAGACTGCCAATCAGCACAGTAATCATTATCCTTACTCATCTATGTTGTATTTAGATATGAGGCCTGGTGGTCTACCTAATTCAATAATATTCATTCTCTGACTGTCCAACTGCTTTTTTATCCTAATTGAATTCTGTTGCTATTTATGGTGGAATCAATAGGTGTGGGAAGGCATAATGAAAAATTATCACGCAGTGGATAGAAGCACTGGCCCTGAAGTCAGGAGGACCTGAGCTCAAACCCGACCTCAGACCAAACACTTGACACTTACTAGTTGTGTGACCATGGGCAAGTCACTTAACCCCAATTGCCTTAAAAAAAATTATCATAGGGCTAAGAATCTCACCTTATGACCTCACTACCTAAATGTAAGCCCTATTCAAACACTATCTTAAATTCCATGAAATTCCTCTGAATATCAGACCTTTGCTTACTGCCTGAGATCCTGCACTGACCTGTAGCTACCCTCGTGGACCAGCAGGATTTGGTTATTGCTTATTCTCACAATGAAGAAGTACAATGTCATAGAGTCTTAAAGCTGGAAGAGACTTTGGGAGTCATCCAATCCAACCCATACCTGATGCAGTAATCCCCTCTACAATAGCCCTGATCGATGATGGTCCAAGCCTGATCAAAGCCTTTTATTGGGGGGCTCTCACTACCACTTGCAGAATCCCACTCCATTTTAGTATAGCTATATATTACATTGAACTCAAATCTGCCTTTCTGCAGTTTCAACCTATTATTGCTAGTTCTGCCCAATTGGGCCAAGCAGAATAAGCCCAATCTCTTTGCCACATGACAGCCTTTCAAATACTTAGAGACAGCTATTATTTCTACCTGAAGTCTTCCCAGACTACACATCCCTACTTTATCCTATTACCACCTTAATCCAGCAGACCAGAACTGCTTTGTGAACTTGGGAAAGAGCTTTTATGCGATGCTTTGGGCAGAGAAGGGATATGGCTCTTTGGCCACATCCCATTGGTATCAGTTTGAGGTTTCTTGTGAATGAGTCAGCCCCTGCTTAGGGTGCTAGTGTAGGACAAAAAGCTATCATGTGTGAGGATGGGGAAGCTAGTCTTTTCGAAAATTCTAATTCTTGGGGCAACTGGGTGGTGCCGTGGATAGAGTCAGGAGGACCTCCGTTCAAATCTGGCCTCAGACGCTTGGCACTTACTAGCTGTGTGACCCTGGGCAAGTCACTTAACCCCGATTGCCTCACCAAAAAGAAAAAAGAAAATCCTGACTCTTCCATTGATTGTAAATTGTGGGGATAGAGATCAGAACAATTATAGCACCACATTTGTTTTTATCCTAAGTGCACATGAGGTAGGGCCTAGAGATTTCAACCTAATGCTCTCCATAAGCTAGTGCCCTCTCTTATTGTTTCTGATCTCCTCTTAGTCCACCTTGGGATCTAGTGCTATCAAGGATTTAACTCCTGTCTTCTTTTTCACTGTTCTCCCAGATAGGAGTCCTCAGGCTAGATACACTGGGAATTTGTCTCCTTGCCTTTACAGAAATCATAAAGTCTCCCTAGGACTGGCTCAGTGTGTAGGTCTGTCTTGCTGCCAATGTCCCATACCTATGACCTAAATTTCTGGCCTTGATTCTAGCTTCCTATTATCCAGATACTATTCTTAGATTCCAGCCCTTTTGCTAGTTCCAATATTCAAACCTGTCACTGTCTCTTCTGACCTTCAGTACCAGCCTGATTCTTCAAGTCATGTCTGAATCTATTTCTAAAAGCTTATTTAGTTCTGTAACTCTGCCTTTATTATCAGGATCTAGACCTCTTCTAGGTTTGGCCTGCTCCCATGTTTGTCCCCTAGACTGAGCCCATGCCTCAATTTACCTAATTCTGGCTATTCTTCCTGTAGCCAGAGTGATTGTTACAGGTCCAATGTAAGTGGTCCATATCATGTGACATCAATCCCACAGACATACAGACCTTGTTGGCTGTCCATCAAACAGAAATTGGAGCTCCAAACAGAGTCCTCACCTACTAGAATTTATCAACCATGGACTCCACACTCAATGTTGTTTCTTGATTCTGTAGCTGTCTCAGAGCTCAGTGTTAACATAGTCTACTTTCAGAATTTCAGAACTGCCTACTGTAATGGAGGTGAGACACAAGTGTAAATACCATCCATTTTGCTAACATAGTGTCATCTATGTGGAAGATGCTAGGGACCTGTTTCTAGGAGAATCTAATGAGGAGTAGAGCATGCATGGACATTCTTCAAAAGCTTACCATGTAGTTAGGAGCAGTCGTTTTTCACTGGCTACATGATTGGTACTGCTGGCTTCTTTAAAATGTCCTAGCTCAACACTAGTATGGTAGTTTTCTTCTGCATTCTTATCTGAGATTGAAAGTCACTCATTTACTAGCAGTGAAATCATACTGCAAGGAGAAAATGACCATAAGATCCTGAAGCCATGTGGTTTTAAAAAATTCGATCTTTTCATTCATTCTTTTCCTTAATAGGTAGAGGGAGTGGAATCTCCAATCTGGCTCAGGAGCTCAAGCCTCAGGAATTCAGGAGTCTAGGAATCCAGACTGGGTGTCATAGCCAGTCTAGCAGTGACATCCTAAGGAAAAGGAGCCCAAGGAATCTGCCCATCAGAACCTGGTACCATTGACTTTGTACTTAGACTTGGTGGGACTAATGCTATGTAGGAATTGATCTAAGTTGTAAACCTAACTCTCCTCAGCCCTCCAACCTAAACCAAGAAGGGGAAGAGGGGGTTGGAATTATGCCCCTGAGGTATGATAGAAAATATTTGTGTTTGTTCTTGTTATGTAATTGAAGCAAATATCACTTTGTAAAAGCTAATCCAATGTTAAGTAAGTAGCTAAATGCATCTGGGGTGCTAGTCACTAATCCTATAAATGGGGAGGAGCACAGCTAGTGAGGGATTAAACAGGTGGCAAAGTAGACATTCCTCAACCTCTACAGGGCACCAGAGAACCCTGAAGGGAATTAAAATGTAAAAGACCTAGTTCTGAGAAATTGGGTCCAGTGGAATTATGCTGTACTTGGAGGGCTCTATCTTGAGAATTTTGTAAAAACCTACCAGTGTAATATCAGAGCCAGGCCATTTTAACAATGCCAGGGTCCAATGGCATGATGTCAGAGTCTATTATGCATGAAACAGATTCATCCTTATTGGGTGAGACTTATCTTTCCATGGGAATAAACTTAAAAAAGATTTCCTTGGATCCTCTGGTATCAAGATCTCAAGCTTATCGGTTGCCAGAGTTCTTTTGCCACTGACATAAGCAAACCTGACACAATAGCAAGGGGCCTAGACTAGGCTGAAGCTAACCTAGTGCTACAAGTCACCATTGCCTGGGCTTTCTCTGTTTTTCTATATGCCTACAAACATCCTCTATGGGAGAAAAGGACCTATCCCCTCAGTAGGACTATTAGCATTGACTGTTACTGCTTTCTTGCTGACACAGCTCTACCTTCCTGAGAGGACTGACATGATTTAATTCTATATTAATAAAGGGCATCCAGAAAATGATGATAATGAAAGAATGGACTAAGCATAGATTTGAATGAAAATAAGTCATAATTATTCAAGAGAAACAATACAACAGTCATACACCTACTGCCTGTGGCAAAACCAGTCTAGAAAAACTTACCAATCAATGCATTGAACATAGTACCATATTAGCCCCTTGTCCCTGATATTGTTAGTGAATCTGGTATGTGGAGAACTGTATCTACCACCAGTGCAAAATAAATATCACCTAAGAAAATTAAACTTGCTTTCATGGTTACCACCTGCTTACTTAGCAATGCTGATGCAGTAGGACATCTCCACAAAAGACATTGGACCTGACAACAGCCTTATGGATAGTGAAACACATATTGAAGTAACTCTCTTTGGTAGAGAGATTGAATGTGACAGTGTTTATTGTCAATTCCTGTTGACTTGAGGCAATTCTAGTGAGCTCCGTATTTCCCATGGAGATGGCATATGTCACAAGCCTTGCTGTTGGTAGCCCTGACTTGTCGGAAGAACCAATACCTGCCACCAAAGTTGAATTTGAGGGATGTCAACTGGAACTGCTTAATAATGAATCCACATTTAGGAAATACTCCTTGAATGTAAATGGGTTAATTGTGATAAATTTAAAGAATCCACCCCAAATGTTCACATGGACTGTTTGTGCCTGACCTTTGATAGAGCACTCTGAGCTCACATTGGTCTGCTCAGCCACAGTCAGATACACTGTCATTTGGCTCTAACATAGTGATGTCATCTTGGTCCTCTTCCAGAACGAAGGATAATAACCAATCAACTGATATAGCTATATAATCTCTGGATATAAATCCATACATATATACATATGTATGTATGTAGATACATAAGAATATGCTTTGGATGAAAGTCTGAGGTAACCTAAGAAGAAAACTTCTTGTTATTTTGAGTCAAATATATGTGTATGTATGTTATATATGTGTGTGTATATGTATGCATGTGTAGTTCACATATATACACATATACTTTTTATATAGTTTATATAATAGATATAATTTTAGTTCCCAACATGTCACATTGAACCAGATTAGGGTATTTGAATGAGCAAGTCTGATATTACCCCAGAAGAAAGAGATGGATACTTCTCTGGACCACTCTCTACCAGATTGGATAGAAATGCCTCCTACCAATGAGAAAATGAGTAAACTTTTTCTGGGCACAGAGCCAAATCCAGCAATTATAATAAATATAATCATCAGTAGAAAGGGTAGGTGTAAAGGTGGGTATATACCCTGGCAATGGGTCTTTTCTTGGACTGCTCTTTTATTATCCACCTCCTTCCCTGCTCACTCTAGCCATGTACTTGCATTTACCTCCACCTACTAGTCAAGTCTAGCCACAATTGGGGAAGCCCATCTTTCAAGAAATCTGGTCTGTAGCCGGATCTACTATTGGGCTGTCTCTGTGTTTGGGCTCCTGGTTCATACTTGCCTTATCGCCTAGACAATTTTCATAGATTATCTATTTTTTTTAATATGGATGTTCAAAATCTACTTGCTTATCTTTGCCAACTTCTTGAATGGGATAATGGAAAAGTCACTATTCTTAAAGTCAGGGGACCTGGGTTGAATCCCAGTTTTAACCCTGCATAACCCTAAACAAAGTGTTTAACCTGAGTCTATTTTCTAGTCTGTAAAAGGGAGATTATAACATTTGCATTATCTTAAAGCACTCTAGAAACATGTTAGTATGTTTCACAAGGTTATCGTAAGTAAATATTTTGTAAATCTTAAAGCACTCTAGAAACATGACTTAGTATTTTTTGGATTCCTAACCACCTTCTGGTTTTGACCTTCAATATCTGCTCAGCCTTCTCCCCAGTCAGAATCTCTCAGTTCCAGATAAAGATCGTCCTTGACTTCTCCACCAGACCCCATCTTCTGCCCTGGTCTGTTGGGACTTCAGTTCTCCTAGTGCCATCTCTCTTAGTATACCCCCCTCACCAATCAACCTTCCCCAACCTGTCCCCTGTATAATAACTGCTTCCTGCAAGACACAAAAAGGAGATTAAGCCCAAAAGAGACTGTGATATAAAAAGAAAGAAGAGTAAGAACAAACATAACATGAGATAAGGGTAGGAGGAGAGAAAGATTAGAAAGCACTGAAAACAAAAAGAGAGAAAGATGAGAAAATTGGAAGCAGGAGGTCCAAAAGACAAAAGTACGAACACATAGCTGCCAGATGCTGCCAAAGCACATTAAAGAGGACAGGTCAGCCTGGGCAGCCATGTTTCAAAACAAATGCCAAACAGCAGAACTCCAGGCAACCAGTTTTAAGACTGAGCATTGCAAGGTCCTTTACTGCCTTTTCCTTAATCTATCTGGGGTCCCTATTATATTTCCTGAACCCTGGTTTGTTTACTGATTTAAAGACTCTGGACTGCCCTTCAGGCTCCTGTACTGTTAGTGACCTTGGTCTGTTTACTTGTTAATGACCTTGGATTGATTGCTGAGCCTTCTGTGTGTGCTAAACTGTGGCCATTTGACTGATTTAATGCCTTGGGACTATCCCCACAGGCCCAGGCCATGACAGGGTAAAGAGTGAAAAGCCACCAAGTGTCAGATTATGAGACATAAAAGACGAAAGGAAAGAACTGGGGCTGTAGAACAAGTCCACTTTCCTCTGGGATTCTTTGATCTCATGAAACTTCTTGAGTGCAGACAATGGATTTGGGTTCTATAGCTATCCCTTAGTAAGTAGGAAAAAGTGAAAAATCTAGAGAAAGTGTTGTGTGAGGTATGGAAAGAGGGGTTAAATGAAAAGATAGAAAGCAGAAGGAAGTGTGCATCCAACAAAAATTTGGCACAGAAGTATAAACTTTAAAAGTGGGATTGGACACCTATTCAGAAAGAGATTAGAGCAGACCCCTATGATGGTACTAGGTACAGGGCTGGTACTATTTGATGACTCCATTGTCCACTAACCAGCTCTGGGTTGTAGTTCCAGGGTGGAGAGGAGAGCTTATGATCACAAAAGAGTAGGAGTTCTAGCTCCAGTTCCAGACCCGAGGGGAAATAGGGGATCTAGTTCCTGGTTTCAGTTTCAGGGAAAAGGAGAAGTAGTGCTTACCGTTACAAGGGAGTATGTTTCCTACCTGGGAACTAGTCACAGTTCCAGGAAGGAGAGGAGTTGTGGTCTCAAGAGAGCAGGGTTTGTACCTGGGTAAGACTAGAAGTGGGTCAGAAATCTGAAATCAGCTGTTTGACAAGACTGTAGAAGTTTCTGTTGAGGCGTTTAGTTGCTCAGGTAGAGTAGTTGTTTTGACCACTTTTGTTGAGGTACAATAGATTTCCTTCTCTTCAGTCAGGAATCTTCAGTATAGTGTCTGAGAAGAGACTTGACTATATTTGTGGACTTCGCTGAGGTGTCAGTTCCCAAGCTAGAAAGCCAATCTTCGGTCATTGCAGATCATTCTTGTCTTCCATGAGCAAAATGCCTTCCAAGGCCGAAATACTAATTCTTCTACAAAGAGCTTTTCTGTCACTTCCAGGCACTTCAGGGCATACCTGTGGATTCAAATGATTAGTTTATGTTGCCAAGTCAGACCCAGGTAAACTCATGTGGTAGTATGCTATGCCATGGCACAGGACTTTGGTCAGTCTTTCTTACACATTGGCTTTGGATGCTTGAGACAGGGTAGAAGAATTTCTTAAGTGTCACTAAGCCTGGGACAGACACTACATCTGACCACAGCTGCTCATCATGACCAATGTCTGCTCATTTTAAACAGGGATATCTAAATGCCTGGGACCTCATTTACTAGCAGTAAGACCCTATCATGGAAGGAGATGGACTCTATCCTAGCCAGAGAGAACTAAGTTTAAGGAGGGATATGATCATATATTAAGGAGGAGTAGTCAGGACTGAGGACATATCTAAGTACCAAGTCTCCATCCAAGCTCATACAAAAGGTACCAGTTGGAATCAGGCTTTTGTGTCAGAGAGTATTGGACGGGAGAATCCAAATGGGGAATACTTAGCTTAGGAAGAGATAGCAAGAAAAAGTGTAAAGAGCACCAAATTAGGGACCAAGGGATGGTTCCTTTTTGCCAGCTCTATCACTACTTGCCTGTGTGAC